CCGGCTCTTGCACATGTGTGGCCAGAGGCAGATGCCTCCCTCCATTGAGTGGGTGTACACTGTCAAGTAGTAAGTGCTACTAAAATCCCTAAATTCCTTGAAGAGGCTGCAAAAGACACACTTGCTCATACTCTTCAGCATTAACTTCCTAAATACTCTTTTCTGTCTCTCCCAGGATCTTGCATTGCACTGGGGCTGCCAGAGGTCTTTGCTCTTAATCTCTCAAAAGGCCTGAAAGTCTCTCAGATCCTGGCTTCTTCATCCACCGTACTCTCTTCCCTTTCTGTCCCCCTCCAGGCCCTCTATCCAGCTATGCAGAGGTGTGAGGGGGTATATGCACCTGTGTGCATGTTGCACCTATATGTACACTGTATGCACCTGCACCTGTGTGCATGTGTGCACATGTATCTGTGCGTACCTACGTGTGTGAATTGTGGGGGAGCTTTGAGCACTCAGAAGCTAACATTTCTGGCTGTGTCCCTGAAAGGGGCCTCTTACCTGAGTTGTACCAACCCAGAGTTGCAGAATGGACCTGCTGGAAAGGACCCTGCAGATTGAGGGCTGTGTTCCCAGAGCTGCTCAGCCAGGCTGTACAGAACCCTGGGAGCAGCTGCTGTGAAGTTCAGATGTCAGTGTCAGCTGTGACAATATGGCCCCTGCTTCTCACACAGAGGGAGTAACTGTCCCAGACAGCAGCTGGGGGGAGGAGGGCCTGGCCCCCCCGTGTGTGTGTTTTTGGCTCCTGACCCGTCACTCTCTGGGTACCTTGGAGCCATCAGCATGTGCAGCATGTGGCTATTCTAGATGTCACAGGGGCACAGAAACAAATGGCTGCTTTCTCCAAGCCCAGCTTCCCTGGGGGCCAGCACTGATGCAAAGGCCTATGTGGGAACACTTCACTGGGGACTGCACTTCACTGGGGACAACAGTTGAGGAGCAGGAGGCTGAGAAACACAGGGTGAGACCCTGAGGGAGGGTGCTCATCAGTTGGTCTCACTGGCATCTCTGGGGAGGCTCTCTGAAGCGTCTGTGTCTCAGAATAGTTCATCTGGGCTGAGGAAGGGGTTTACTCACTGCGCCCATGCCCATGAGTGGAAGTGTGCCTCACAGGTGTTCACGGCCATAGGGCCTTACCTGCCCCAGCCCTGACTTCAGGGTTGTACACCTGGGCCCGTGCATCTGTATGTCTGATGTCTCAGCAAGAACCGAGAGCCCAGGTCAGGAAGTTTAGTGTGTGCTGACAGCACTGAGGCCCTAGATCAGAGGCAATAGACCGGAAACCAAAGGTCAGAAGTGGTAGTAGCTGATGCTGGGCCACTTGGGTGCCACTGAGGCAAGGCACAGATGTGGCACAGATGTGGGTGGCACATGGCCACATCTGGTACCAGGCACACAACCACATCAACTTCCACCTTCTCACTTAACCCTCCGACATCCCTGCAGGGAGATCGGGCAAGAAATCCAACTTCCAGCTGAGGAAACTTGAGGCTCAGAACAGTTCAGAGGCTTCTCCATGGACGCAGAGACAGAATGTGTCTCCTGGCTCCACTGTAGTCCCAGGCCCAGGGCCTGCAGCCATGAGAAATGACTTACACATTCAGGGTGCAGACAAGGGCATGAGAGGCTGGGGGCCCCATGACCCCATGGGGGCTTCCCAGAGCAGTGTCACCTATGCTAGACCATGGAAGGGCAGCCACAGGACCCCATGAGCCCCTTCATGCTGTGAGGAACAACAGCAGATGTGCCAGGTGGGCTAAGCCTGGAGGGCTAGGATGGCTATAGTCAGGCGGGGGTGGGGGTGGGGTCTAGGGAGAGGGCAGCGGTGCAGCAGCACAAGACGCCCCTCTGCCTTGCTGCTTTGCCCACCTTCCCTCTGGCCAACCTGCCAGGGATGGCGAGATACAACCTCCCAGCACCCCAGCTACCCACAGTGCCGCTCTGGCCCTGCAGGGCAGGGCTGTGGCCTTCTCACCTGGCTGCCTACGCCCTTCAGGCCCAGCCGGGATTCAGGCCCTGGTATAGGGAGGATGTCCTTCCTTGATGTACCCACGGAGGGCCATGTAAACCTACTCTGAGATGGAGGAGGCCCCTCTCTGCCTGGTTGCTTAGGCCTGAGCACTGGGTGGCTGGGCCTGCCCTTCCTCCTAACAGCTCTGTGGGGGAGGGTGGCAGGAGGTGAGGCCTGTCTTCAAGGAGACAGTGAGTCACTTTCACCCACCTCGCTGTGAGCACGTGTTTTCTGAGTTGATTAGGTCTATAATTAGAAGGTGCCTGCCTTCCTGCCTATACACAGGAGGAGCTGCAAGGAGTCAAGAGGAGGCTGGGGTGCAAACTTGTCACCCACTCCCTATAAAGGGACTGCTGCTTTGTCTAGGCCAGCCCCGGTTGGACTTGGGGCAGAGGCAAGGGTCCTACAAATGCCAGGTGGGAAAGCTGGCCCACCCGAGCCTTGCACAGTCTTCCTACGCTTCCTGCTCCTATTTGCCCCTGGAAAACCCGGGGAAATGCCAGTGCCTGGGCTGTCCCCAGGACCAGTTAAATCAGAGTCTGGTGGGAGCCCACCCAGTAGTGAGTCCATGAGCAGTCCCCAGGTGACACAGGTGGGCAGCCACAGTGAAGATCACTGTGGGAGTGTAGCTGGCACAGCTCACCTGTAGGTTGAAACTCTTAGAAGGGGCTTCCTGGGCCCTCACCCACCTGCACACCAATCAGATGGAGATTTGACCCAGCAGGCCTGGTCTGGAACTCAAGACCCTGCATTTTAACAGTTGACTGGGTGGTGCTGCTGAGCATCTGGGAGTGTATGCTGGGCTCACTCCCACAAGGCCTCTCACTCCAAGACGGTACTGCTGTCTGTTCCAGGAAGGACCAAGGTGTCTAGAATTCATGGCACCCATGTGGCCTGTACGGGGCACTGAGCAACCACACCAGTGGGGCACAGCTCCTTGGGGCTGGGGAAATGCATCCTTCTTTACACAACAGGTTTGTTTGATCATTCCAGAAAACCTCTGATACAGCGCTCCTTGTGCCTATTTTGGATGTGGAAAGTAAGGCTACAAGAGGGTGAGGATCCTGACAAAGCCACGATAAGTGGCTGAGCCAGACTCTGACTCAGGCCACCCTGCCTGCCTTTGCTGCTGGCTTGGCGTGAGTACTTGTGCTGCTGCGATGTGGTTCTGTGTTCTGGAGCAGCCAGCTGTGCCTTGTCTTCACCTGCAGCGTGCGGTGTGTGGAGAGTAACTCCTGGGGAAGTGGGGGTTTACTGTGAAAAGAAAGAAAAATCTTTCAACTCTAGCCTTTAATATACTAAGTACTTGGTGCCTTGTCTGCTGTTGCAGTGCGGTTGCTATCGCACGCACGCTCCCTCCCACACCAGCTCAGAGACCCCAGGACTCAACCCTGAGTGACCCATTCCCCAAGAACGGGGCAGGTAAGGGGTAGACACACAGGGGTACAGCCACAAGTCATAGTTCCTGCTCTTGCTGGGCTGGAGGAGGATCTAGTGCAAGAAAAGGGACTTTCTTCAGGGTCAGGATGGCTAGTGATGATGCCAAGCTGAGGGCCCAGTGGAGGAAGTGCTGTAATCATCCTCATTTGGCAGCTGAGAAAGTCAAGGACTGGGTACATCACCCGGGAACACGGAGCTGGCCATCACAGGCCTGGGACTCTGACTTGAGAGTGAGCGTCATTCCACCCAGGAGGAGCCATGCTGGGAACCTGCCTCTTCCTCTTAGGACTCAGCCTGGAGACCCTCCTCGAAGAGCTCTATGACTAGGGGGGAGTGGACCCTGCTAGGGACTGAGACTGGGTGGGGAAGCGGACATCCCCAGGACCTGGAGGGACCTGGTTTGTGGGCTGAACCCAGAACTGTGTGACTTTGGGAAGGTTGCGCCACAGTGCATAGGCCTTGGTAGAGATGCTGGACCCCTGCTGCGTAGCTGTGGTCTGCAAAGGTGATGAGGGGCCAGGGAGCCCACCTTCATTATTTAAGTGCACAAGGGGTTACAGAGTCCCACTCTGGGCTCCAAGGGAGGCTGGCCAGAGGACACAAAGGTGAATGATAACAGCTAGTTTGGGCCTAGAGGATCAACAGTTTGAGATTAACCTGGGGAGGATTCCTAGAGGTGGCCATACCAGGGCTGGACTTTGAACTCCTAAGATTTCCTTAGTTGAAATTCTTACCATTGGGCCTCAGTTTTACCATCTGAAAAATGAAGGGTTTGCTCACATCAGTAGTTCTGAGGCCTGAGTGGCTGCAGAAGCCCCTAGAGGGCTTATTGGAGCACAAAAGCAGACCCCACCCCTGCTGTGGCTTGGCCCAGCTTTGAGGGGAACAGTCTGTGAATCCGTACCACACCTGCTCCCCATCCTGGAGTGAGGGCAGCATAGAGCCTGGGGGCCCAGACCCTGCCTTGTCCTGGAGACTCACCTTGAGCTCTTGCCCTCCTAGCAAAGGATTTTCTAAGAATTTCAAGGACCCTTCAGATAGCGGCATCTGGGCCAGACATCCTTTTTCCCTGGTGCAAGGTGTAGTTAAGTGCTATGGTGTGGGCAGTCCGCCCTGGGCTAGTAAGGCAGTAACCCAGAGTCCTCAAATGGCAGGAAAGTAACATAGTTACTATTTGCTCTGCACAGTGGGGGACCTGAGGTTAGAATGGCTCAGAGGTTTGACCTTTCTAAAAGCTGAGTGCCCATGAGCTGTTCAGGGAGTCAGAGTCTGAGGAGGGGGGTGAAGTACTTTCCACTGCTTTCTGAATAACACCCTCCACCGTGGCAGTGTGGTTTTGGGCTGCAGCTAGGAGCCTAATGCTGGGGCAGTACACCTACCTGCCAGTGACAGCAGTGAGGCAGCCCATGCAGTTGAGGCTGTCTGTGGCCCTGCTGTGGCAGAAGGGCCCGACTCCACTGCCCCACTCCAGCTGCCTACACCCTGTGCCTGCCTCTCCTCAAAGGGTAGAGTGGCAGTGATTGGCTAAGTGTGCCAGGTTAGGCTGGGGTGAGCCACATTTGTCTCTCAGGCATGAGCTTTAGAGGCCCTAGCTGGCAAACACCACACATTACTTGGTCCCCACTTGGCCCCTCCCAGGTGTGGGCATTGGGGAAACTGAGGCTCAGAGTGTTTCATGAGAGCTCAGCTCCAGTGTGAGGCGGGTACCCTGAACCCCATCACTATGGGTTATCCCACAATGGACAGCCCAGTTATGAGCATGAAACATCTATATCCCCAGGGCATTCAGATGCTGCAAGTCCAAAAGCAAGTTCCAGATCTTCCCCTAAGTCCTGCTCTTACATGCTCAGCCTGGGACCAGTGTGGCCCTGATCCTCTTACCACCTGATCTCTGGCTGGGCTGTGGCATGGCCCATGGATAGGTTCCTGTCTCTCTCCAAGAAACAGCACCTGGCACTTTCTCTGCTCAGCCTTGTACACATACTGGATCAGAACCTCAGCACCCACTGCCCCTTGTGCCTAGAGGATTACTTTCTCATCCCTGGGCGTCGCAGGGCTAACACCATCAGTTGTTCAAGCTCCACCTCACCCCGGGCTGCTCCTGATCACCCACCACATGCTCCTTGTGCCTCCTCCTGCATTTTCTCCATAGTTAGATGTGAAGAAACATGGATTAGCTGTGGAGCAGCTAGGGGCCACTGTGGGGTCTGCCCCTGGTGGAGGTGCCCTGGCTAGCACTGCGGGGGCTCACTGTACTACACCCCTGCACCATGCAGGCTGCCAGCAGCCTGGAAGCTGGCCTCATGGAAATGCCTTTGGTCGCTCACTGCCTTGTCCTTCTCACCCAGGAAACTATGCCCCAGACGTCTGCCGTTTTCTCTGGCTTCCTTGGGCCCAGCTGTAGCGGACAGGTGCAGCCTGGCATGGGGGAGCGGGGAGGCGGGGCCAGCGGTGGCTCCGGGGACCTCATCTTCCAAGATGGACGCCTCATCTCTGGGTCCCTGGAGGCCCTAATGGAGCACCTGGTCCCCACGGTGGATTATTACCCTGATGTGAGTGCTTGGGGCCCTGAGAGGTACAGCTGATGCGGGAGACCTGGGCTCCAAGGAAGGCTGCTTCTGGGAGGGAGGAAGGGACCAGAAGGTCCAGGCAAAGGGCAGAACTGGGTGGAGCCCAGGGAGGGGTTGGGTAGTGGGGGCTGAGCTGTGACTTCTCTGCTGCTATCCCCAGGCAGCTAGTGGGGCTGTCAGGGCCTGAGCTCTGGGCAGAGCCCTGGGGAGGAAAGAGTAGTTTAGAGTCCTAGCGAGGGCAGCCTGAGTCCTGGAACCATCAGCTGAGCTGGGAAGCTTGTTTGTGCATAAACCCTGGTGGTGCAGAATGAAGAGAGGATGCCCATCCTGCCCGGCACCCCTATCCCCCACCCCAGGGCAGAGAGGAGCAGGGGAGCAGGACTAGAGCACAGGACTTTTCTTCCACAACTCAAATCCTCCCTCTTTGCCTCAAGAGATGGCTTTATACATTCTTGAAACTGAAAAAACATTCCTTTGTCAAGTGGGGCTTCTCTTCTGCCTCTGATAGGTGATGTCCCTTAGCAATAGTGGCATTGCCGCTGCCTGCTCCCTTCTGTGAGCTGAGCATCCTTCCTCTGGGAGGACCCAGTCCTGCCCTCCTTGTGCCCTCCTTTCTTCCTCCTGAGGGCAGTCATGCTGCTGGTCTGGAGAGTCAGCTCCGCTTCTCCCCCTGCCCAGCCTCCTACATCCTCCCTGGGTTGGGAGGACTTACTGTTGTGCTGTCCACTCCTTTATCCATCCTCTGCCCTTTGTGTAAGCCCTGTGAGGCCTGGTTGGGGCTGGTGCTGATGGTGTACACACACACACACACACACCCCTACCTGCTGAGTGCAGGGGGCAGAGCCAGGGGAGGGGCCCAAGGCCCTGAAGAAGTCCAGAGCAAGGCCACAGTCCCTCCAGTCTGTGGAAGGAATTGCCTCCTATTGGCCTGCCCCAGAGGTACCACCTTAGCTAACTATCACTGAGTATAGTCCCCAGAACATTGCCCTGGGATCTTGACCTGTTTCCCAGGAGAAAACAGAGGAATGGCAGAGACAGGAGAGTCCAGGTGGGCATTGGTTCCTCTGCTGAGCTCCTGGGTCCTCTCCCTCCCTCACCCTTCCGTCATTGCTACCACCCAACATGCAGGGCAGCCAGACACTCAAGTGCTTGGAGATGTGTAGGCGCCTCCTGTGGGTGCCCCAACCTTTGGCTAAAAGCCCTGTGGTGTGATGCCTAGGGGCCTTTGTTTAGAAGGAGGACCCTGGGAATCCCACCTGTGGCTGAGACTCCTGAGCCCTTGTGCTGCATGGTGTGGGGCAGGTCTCAGGAAGTTTTTGGGCGGTTAGAGGAGCCACCAATGCCACAGAGTGGGTTAATGGGAGCCCAGGCCCCTGAGTCCTGCTCCAGGAGATCTACGCTCTCTGCAAGCTAGGCCCAGCCTGCTTCAGGTTGGAGCAAGGAAAACCTGCTTCTTCAGACTGGGAGTCAGGGGGTCTTGGCCATCCAGCATGTAGGTCCAAGCCCCAAAGAGCTCCTGTTTTCAAATCCACCCTGTCATAGGCAGGAGCCAGTATGAAGAGCCCATAGGCACTGACAGGGCAGGGCTTGCCACTGTCTTTCAGTAGGGACCATAAAGATACTGGTGAGGGGGTTAGGAGGACTTGGTATGGAGAAGCCTGTGTGGCAGTTGGAATCAAAGCCCATAGCTCTTCAGAGGCAGAGCGGGGGCCCCACTAGGCTGTGCCCTCTCTGGCATTGCTACTGATCAGCCACACCCATCGTGCCACACCCTCATTGGCCATTCCTGCTTCCTCAGACCTCACCTGGCCATGCTCCTGGGAGGGGGTCTTGCCCACTGACCTTTAGGCAGAGCAGGAGAGGGTCTGAAGAGGCAGCAGGGAGCATCACTGTGTCCCACTGTGGGAGAGCTGTGGGAAGCAGGCTGGAGCTGTGCCTTCTGGGTGGGCGGGAGTACAGTAGCAGAGACCAAGAGGAAGGCCCTGCAGGTGTAGCCTGGAGTGCCGGCCACTGGTGTAGTTGGGCATGGAAGGCCAGCTGTGAACCCACATGGGGGGCCACCTCGCCAAACCTCACTGGCTCTTTGCCCTGTCTCCTTGTTTCTTGTTTTCAGAGGACGTACATCTTTACGTTCCTCCTGAGCTCCCGAGTCTTCATGCCCCCTCATGACCTGCTGGCCCGAGTCGGACAGATCTGCCTGGAGCAGAGGCAGCAGCTGGAGGCTGGGCCTGAGAAGGTAAGGCTGCCGAAAACAGGATGCCTGCTGGCTGGCTCCGGGCTACCTGGCGCCCACATGAGAAGTGTGTTCAGAGTAGGGGGTGGGCAGGCCTGGGTGTGGCCGAGCCACGATTGGGTCAGGGGTCAGCAGCATGGCTCCTTGTTCACAGGATGGGTGCCCATACGACAAGCCTTCCTCACAGGCTGCTCGAAGGAAATGCTGGTAGTGGGCAGTTCCCAGAAGGGTCCCCACAACAACCTTGCCAGTCCTCCTGGTCAGTGCCAGGATCCCTGAAAAGGAGGAAAAGCCACTGGGACCTGGGTGGCTGCTAGCTCTGCCGGTGCTACTTGCTCATAGCACAGGGTTTCAGGAACCCTAACAGGGCTATTTGTCTCTTGGGATTGAGCCAGGGTTCTACAGTCCTAAGAGGCAAGGGAAAACAGCTTCACCCTGAGCCCCTCAGGGCTGTAGTAGGGGGGAAGCTTCCAAAAGCCCATGGTCTGGTGGTGGGTGTGCTTTGTGGAACTGAGTGACACAGTGTGTGGCTTGGCCACGTTTGCTGGTGACCATCCCCTGGCCTCCTAGCTCCCTGTGGCCTGGCCTCCTACAGCTGGAGGTTTACAGAAAAAGCCAGGGAACACATGGTGCCCTTTGTCTCCTCAATGTTGGTGACAAGTGGTATGTCCTGGAGCACCTGTCAGCCCACATAGTCCAGAGGGAGCAGGTCTCAGGCTGCTGCTGGGCAGGGACAGAGATGGGCTCTGGCCTCAACCTCAGGGTCAGGAATGGCTCCTGAAGGAACAGGTGGAAAAAAGCCAGAATGGGTGACTGGAGGAGGTGAGATTCCAAGCTGAGGGTCAACAGGAGCTAGAGAGGAAGGCGCCTGGGTGAGCCCCTAGCCTGGGACATGGCAAGGGACTGAAGAGAGAATGCCAGGCTCTAGTTCCTGTGGGGTGTGGGCCTAGTAGGCTCCAGCTGTCCAGCTGCTGCGCACTGGACTGTGGATGTGAGGAGTGGCCAAATGCAGAAAGAGACCCTGCTGGGCTGAGGGCTTGGGACAGGGATCCGGTTGGGCTGGGTCCAATGTGGGGTCAGGGCTGGGGGTGTGGCCTCGCCTTGCTGGCGGGTGGTGGATGGGAGGATCTGGGTTGGAATCTGGCCCGTGGCAGGAGTGATTGTGCCCCATGGGAGCATTGTAGTGAGTCAGTGGGGTCTCAGGGGTCGAGCACATGGCACCTTCTTCTCTCCCCTCCCTTGGGCGGAGACCACACAGGCATCTGAACTGGTCAGAGCCGTCATGGCAGAGAGGGCTGAACGCGGGGGCGACCACAACCTGTGCCCAGTCCCCTTGGCCCTGTGCTGGGTGCGGGGGGCCCAGGCCTTGCATGCGTGTGGACGGGAGCAACTCCTGGATGCCTGGGCAGATTTTCCTGACACATGCGCCAGAGTTACACCCCTGTTTCCCCAGAACGCAGCAATCTGCTTTTAGCCGAGAGGGGGCAGACAAGAGTCTTATTTAACCTGATTTTGCTTGCTTTTGACTATGCTCTTTTTATGGGTAACTGCTAATTATAGCAAATAGAACTAGTTTTCTATGTCATGTAATGACATGTCATGTAGGCTTGTTAGAATGAGTTTAAGTGAGAAAGAAAGGCAATTTAAGGGAGTGAAAACAACTAAGAGTCTAGATGGCACAGGTATGGCAAAACTACGGGTGGCACACACAGGTGGGGATATGCCCAGCACAGGCCCTGGGGGTGGGAGCAGCTTGCCCCACTTGCCATATTGTTTCCCAGTCTGGCCCATGGGTCCTCACTCTGTGCTCTACTGCCTTAGGCCAAGCTGAAGTCCTTCTCAGCCAAGATTGTGCAGCTTTTGAAAGAATGGACAGAGGCTTTTCCTTATGACTTCCAAGACGAGAAGGCCATGGCTGAGCTGAAGGCCATCACACACCGTGTCACCCAGTGTGATGAGGTGAGCACTTCCTTAGCCCTGGCCAGGCTCCCTGGGTTTGTGTCTAGGGGGTTGCCTTCAGGAGGGTGGGTTCTTCAGGGACAGTTTTACATGTGGTCCCCTTCCCTGTCATTCCCCCAAGAGGGTTGCTGCGTGGCTTTATTCAATCTCCCCCACCCCTAGATGACAGCTCAGTTGGCCAGCAACCAACCAGACCTACCCATGACACTGGACGCAGAAATCCTGCAACCCAGTGGCCATGATCATCCTGGCCCTTGCCACCTTTGTTCCTGGAGTAGGGGCCCATCAAGGTGTTGTAAGAGTGTTTCCCTTTCCTAGCTCCCAGCTTACTCTTGGCCTTTGGTACACACAGGAACATGAGAAGCCTGGGGCAACTGGGACCCCTACATTGGGAGAATTCCATGTACTCAACAGCTCCTATTTACCCATAGGGCTTAGGAAGCCCAGGGAGAACTTCAGGAGAGGCCAGGGACCCCAGCCTGCCCCTACCCAGTGGGGCAGAGGCTCTGGGCCATGAGAGAAGCCCTTTCTAATGCCTTGCCCCATTCTGGGAGCTCCTTCTCCTGTGGGAAGGCAGTGAGAAGCAGCCACACTTTTCAGACCCAGAAGCCCAGCCCTGGCCCTGCCCTCAGCCACTTCCCCAGCAGTCCTCAGAAGAGCCCATGCTATTACCCCACTCTATTATTGAAGGCCCAAAGTCTCATGGCAGGTTTGGAAAGAGGATGTGGGCTCACAGTGGTCAGGCATGTCTCTGGAGGTCATATGGATCACCCCATAGTGGTGGTGGCCTTGCTGGTGGCCCATGCCATCACCTTCATTGCTCTTGACCCCCACAGGAGAATGGCACAGTGAAGAAGGCCATTGCTCAGATGACACAGAGTCTGCTGCTGTCACTGGCTGCCCGGAACCAGCTCCAGGAGCTGCGAGAGAAGCTCCGGCCACCAGCTGTGGACAAAGGGCCTGTCCTCAAGACCAAGCCACCGGCCACCCAAAAGGACATCCTGGGTGTGTGCTGTGACCCTCTGGTGCTGGCCCAGCAGCTGACTCACATCGAGCTGGTCAGTGCCACCACATGCGGGAAGGCAGGGCATCTACTGCTGCTGTGCAGGGCCACCAGACCCCAGGGTCTCTTGTCACAGTGCTGCAGGGCCTATAGTCAGACCGGGTCATTAGGGGGGACCTGGCTCCCCAGCCTCAGGCCGGTGCCTCTGCGTGCCACATGGCCACCCTGTGTGAATAGGAGGGACAGTGCTGTCCTGCATTTAGGAGCATGGTGGCCCCAGGATGGAGGACTGGCCTGAGAGGAGGCCAAGAGCCTGTACCCAGTTAGGGCCCCTGCTCCTCACATCCCATGCAGGTCTGTCCCTTTCCTCCAGGGGAGGCTCTTTACCCTCCCCCTGCTATCTCCCTCCCCCAGGACAGGGTCAGCAGCATCCACCCTGAGGACCTGATGCAGATCATCAGCCACATGGACTCCCTAGACAACCGCAGGGTGAGTGGCCGAGGCCTGTGGCATGCTCTGGGCCCCCAGCCAGTGCCACATGACTGGCCAACCTGGCACCTGCTTCAGAGGTTTGGATGACTGTGCAGGTGATGCACAGGGGAAAACTGAGGGCTCATCCTGGGTCTGGGGCGCCAGCCTGGCCCTGTGCTGAGCAGCAGGGAGTAGACTGGGTTTCCGTGGAGCAGGCTGAGCCATCACCTGGGGGATAGGCCAGCCATGGGGACTTCATTGTCCAACCAGGGTCCTCTGGGCTCCCTGAGACCTACGGTGTCCCCACAGTGTCGAGGGGACCTGACCAAGACCTACAGCCTGGAGGCCTATGACAACTGGTTCAACTGCCTGAGCATGCTGGTGGCCACAGAGGTGTGCCGGGTAAGCACACCCCATAGTAGACATGGCAGGGTGCCCATTATCATGCCCAGGGAGGCCCTGAATCCCACCCCACCTCAAGCTAGGTGATGGAACTTTAAAGGTTACATTGCCAGGGCCATGGCAGTGCCTCCTTTAGTGATGACAAATACCCCATCTTGTGCTCCCTCTGTGCCCAGCACTTCCTGGTCCTCTTTGGGGCCTCATTGGGGCAAATAGCTCCCCCCTAGTGGTGCCATGCTGAGGACACCTTGTACCTTTTAGGTGGTAAAGAAGAAGCATCGGACCCGGATGTTGGAGTTCTTCATCGACGTGGCCCGAGAGTGCTTCAACATTGGGAACTTCAACTCCATGATGGCTATCATCTGTGAGTGCCTGGGGGCCCGCTATAGGGGTGTCTCGGGCTGGCCCCCACCCCTCCCTGGTCTGACCCCACTTGCTGTTCCCTGTAGCTGGCATGAACCTCAGTCCTGTGGCACGGCTGAAGAAAACCTGGTCCAAAGTCAAGACGGCCAAGTTTGACGTCTTGGAGGTAGGCACAAGCTTATGCCACAGTCTCACCTGGCATCACCTGGAGGGGCCCTGACAGTGGGAGGGGGCTTCCAAGTGTAGTGGCGAGTTCCACCTGGCTGGTGCTATCATCTTCAAGTGGTGAGTACTCAAGCTGTTCAAGGCTAGGATCTTGCTACTTCTCCTGGACTCAGCATTGCCTAAGGCAAGTTCTGGAGAGTGGTTAATAAAGGGTTTGACAAAAGTCCTGAGGTGAACAGCAGGAGCTAGCAGAATCTGACCAGCCTTTTCCTTGGTCAGCTTCTCCTGGTCCTGGACATCTGGGTGGCCCCCAGGCTGGCCACCATCTGACAAGTCCATCTGCAGCCTTACCCAGATGAATTTGATCCCAGAGACCATTTTTTACAAAACATTGGTGTCTTGTGGGAAAGATCAGGTCTCAGAGCTACTGAAATATGTTTTGAAGGAAGAAGGGTGAGGCCTGGATGTGCAGGCAGGACTCTGACACTTCTGTCCAGCTTTCCAGAGACACTGGGACCCAAACCTGGAAGCCCCTGGCTGCGGGGCTCAACCAGTTACCTTCGTGCATCCCTCCCCTGTGCGCACTCCTGGGCTGCCTGTGGGTAGGTGCTTTCTCTGTTCCAGGGCTCCGGCCCTGCAGAGGAGCATCCTTAGTGGGTCTGAGGGGCACAGCCTCAGATGCTCATCAGGGTCTCTTTGGGCCTGCAGCACCACATGGACCCATCCAGCAACTTCTGCAACTACCGCACAGCCCTGCAGGGGGCCACGCAGAGATCCCAGATGGCCAACAGCAGTCGGGAGAAGATCGTCATCCCTGTGTTCAACCTCTTTGTTAAGGACATCTACTTCCTGCACAAAATCCACACTAACCACCTCCCCAACGGGCACATTAACTTCAAGGTGAGCTCAGTTTCCTGGGCTCCTAACACAGCTCGGGTCAGGCTGAAGCCAGCTGTGTTACTGTGGCTGCCAGGAAGTGGTCCTGCAGCAGGGTCTGTGGTTTCCGGGCCCTGCCTGAGGTTCTGAAAGTGGCAGAGTGGGTAAAGGGCACTGTTTGACAGTGAGGTATGAGGCACTCCCTGCCCTTCTGGGTAAATGATCCAGTCATGCAGTTGGGAGTCACAGGGAACTATATTTACTCAGGACTCTGACTCTAGCCTCACCCTGCCAGGTAGACAGAGAAAGGGCCATCCTGAGGGATAGGAGTCAGGAGGGGTGGGAAAGGGCATTCCAGACAAAACCAAAGAATCTGTCTGGTGGGCCTCAGGACAGCTGGCGTGACAGAGGTGACTGGACAGGTGATGGCCCATAGCTGTTAGATGCCCTCGTCACACAGGTGAGGGTGGGAGCTGTGGGTGCTACATAGCCTTTGGAAAGAGAGAGCATGATGTGCTGTGATCACTGTTGGGGTGGGCATGGTGGCCCTGGGGCCAGGGTTCTAGATGGGGCCCTCCTTGGGTCCCTGCTCAGGCAGAGGGCAGGACACAGTGGCCTTGGAGGACACCTGTTGGCTCTGATGCCACCATAGCCACAGGGGCAGCCATACAGGGCCACTGTTCTGTCTTGCTGGGATGAGCAAAGTGAACAGCAGATTAAAGTCAAAACCCCTGTCCCCTGCACTGACCAAGGGTTGGAGCTTAAGGTGACAAATGAGCATCAGTTGGCCTTTTCCTTTTCAGAAATTTTGGGAGATCTCCAGACAGATCCACGAGTTTATGACATGGACTCAGGTGGAGTGTCCCTTCGAGAAGGACAAGAAGATTCAGAGTTACCTACTCACGGCGCCCATCTATAGTGAGGAAGGTGAGGGGTGTTTCCTGCCAGCCTAAATCCCTGTTCAGGCTCTGTGCCTGCTGGAGGCTGACCTGGGAGGTGGCCTGGTGGCTACTCTCTGCCACAAGAGGCCTTTTCAGCTCACAGGGGAAAGCTTGTGTGATGGGGGGTTGTGGGTGGAGAATAGGACAGAGGCTTAGGCTCCAGGGGCCTCTTAAAAGGCTAGAAGGGGTCAGGCAGGTGTTGCAGGGCAAGGAACCTTCCCAGAGTCCCTGACAGCCAGCCCCAGAGCCTCATGCAGTAGAGACCTGTGTATGGTCTAGCCACGGGTTGTTGTCCCCTTGTCCTGGGCCCAGCTGCTAGCTTGGAAGGGATAACTGGGTGTTCATAGATGCCACACAGGGACGTGGTTTTCTGAGGGGATTTTCTCATCTCTCAGCTCTCTTCATCGCCTCCTTTGAAAGTGAAGGTCCTGAGAACCACATGGAGAAGGACAGCTGGAAGAACCTCAGGTAGGAGAGCTCCAGGGACACCTGAGTCTGCAGGGAAGGGGAGAGGTGGGAGTAGACCTGGGATCTGCCCTCCCAAGGGCCTTGAAGCACCTTAGTGGCCCTGTGCGGGGCTGCTGGCCCTGGCCCTGGTGGGCAGGAGACCAAGGCTTGAGTTTGGTCCAGGCCCTGTCCCTACCATGACACATGCCTGCCTGTCTGCCTGCATGGGGGCCTGAGCACTGCCTGTCCTGTCCACCTTTAGGACCACCCTCCTTAACAGAGCCTGAGGTGCCAACGCGGCTGCAGCGGATGGAGCACACGCACGAGTCAGTGTGAACCTCGAGTGATGTGGGCAGAGCTGAAGTGGCCTCACTGGTTGGGGTCCATTTTGTATATAACTTTTATGAGAAGAAAATGGTAATTATTTCATGCATCAGCCTTTGGCACTTACAAAGTTTTTTTGTTTATTTTAAATAACAGGGCAGGGCCCTGCTTTGGGGAGGGGTGGGGGAAAGAGTATCATGGGAGATGGCATCCATGATAGCGTCTTATTCTGATGAAATGTAGATTTTTATTTTCTACTTTTGATTATTAACATCTTAAAAAAATTTTAAAAAACCCAACCAAAATCAACGTGAGCCCTGCCTGCTTGGACGCCTTTCCAGCCAGTGTCTCTGATGTCGGGGTTAGTGCCTTAGAGGGTACTGGGGCTGTCTTCCTGCTCCGCCATGAAGCGCTGGCCCTCCCGAGCCTGGGCCTTAGGGCTCCTGTGGGGGCCCCATGGCCCGAAGGTCTCATCTGCACACTTCTGGAAGCCCTTTGGGTGTGGGCTTTCCAAAGTTTACATTTTTATTTTCCTTTGTCAGGGATTTGTGGGGTCAGGGAGGGGCAAGGGCACCTGGCTATATTTTCTGTAACAATGTGTCTGGCAGATGGTTCTCCAACACACTTTAGAAATAAGGAAATCTAAAATAATGCAAGGGAGGGAGTTGTGGAGTTGTCAGTTTGAAAGACACTGAGCTGTTATGAGCCAAAGCAGGCTCTGGGACGGTGACAACGCAGAGTTGTTCTCAAAGCCCACGTACAGAAGGAGGGAAGCCCAAGAGCCAGTGTTCTAGAGGACTGGTCCCCTCCCCTAGTTGGAATCTGAAACACAGAAAATCCACCATGCTGGCACTGATGGAGCCCATTCAGATAACACTGCCCCATGCTGGGAGGTACTTTTCTACACCCAGCCTAGAGGAGCACACTCTATTTTCCACGTCTGACTTCCTAGTGTAAGCCCTGGGCCTTACTGACCAAGGACAGGATGGCTCTCCCTCAGAAAGCCAGAGGTGGTCTGTCTCCCTTTTTACCCTTGTCCCTCCCCACATGCCTGGCTTCAGGAAGCTTGGGCAAGGATGGGCCAGGTCCCATTTCCCAAAGCTCTGTGGAGAGCCTGGAGACCCGCAGGCTGGCCTGGGGAGACGGTGACCCTGGGCCCACTGAACTGAGGCCCTGGGCAGAGCGAGAATAGTTACACTGTATTGTCACAGTGTGTTTGCACTTTCCCACGTCCTAGCTAGTACAGATTGTATATTGATAGTACATATTGCTTTGTTTATGTCTTTGAGATAAAGGCTTAAAACTTGAGAATATATATTTGGAATACAGTGTTAGAACGTTTTCTGTACACGTGTTAAAGGGCCTTCACGTCCACGTGCACTTCATGGGTGACCAGTTCTACTTGAAACAGTGTCTGCGTCTGCTACTTTATTTTCCCAATTTGATACATACCTTAAATTTGATGTTTTGGTATTCTGAGATGAACTCTTGAGTATAAAGCTGTACCATAATGCAGGATGTCAGTTTTGGTGTGACTGGACATACTTGCATCAATAAAAGAACACATCGCTCCCCTGCCTTGCCTGCTGTGTGTGTGTGGAGATGTGGGCTGTGGGATGAGGCTGTCAGGCTCAGAATAACCTTCCAAGGAGGGGCTGAGCAAGGGGCTGTCATCTGTAGCTGGCAACACATTCTGACATAGGCCTTTCCAATGACTAATGCAAGACTAGAAACAGCTGTATAGGAGGGGTGTTCTGGTCTTCCATTCTCAACATGAGCCCCCCAAAGGCACCACTCGCTGTGTATTGCATGGTCACATGAGTCTGGGACTCCAAGTCAGACCAGGCTGTAAGGACTCCTTTACTGCAGGGCTAGCCAGATGGTCTCTCCTGGGGGGCGGAGGGGTGGTGGTGGTTGGGGAGCCCCTACTGACATCTTCCTGCACAGCAGTCTGCATAGTGTGGTCTAGATGGGGCCACTTCTGTTGGAATGAGTCACATTCAAGAGTGCTGGGGAGCTGGGGAATTAAGAGTTGAAGGACAAGAACTGAGGTGCCAGAGAGAAGCCAAACTCGCCCCACTCATCCAGGCTGCTCATTCCTGCTGTCCACAGGCCCTGGCAGGTGATGCCTGACGTCCTCCCATTACAGATTTTTTAGACAAGAGCAGTGGTGAGAAGGGGAGAGAGGAGAATAGGGAGTTTCATCTGTGAATGACCGTGACCATCACAAGATAACTTACCATCTTCTGACCAGCCTCTATACTGCTCTTACTGAGCCTTGCCCTGCGTTTTCAGAGCTAAGTTTAATCATGCTTCAGTGTCTGTCGTTCCCCTGAGTGCAGCGCTGCCCAGCAAGATACTCTGAAGGTATGTTCTTTGCCTTGTCCAGCGCAGGAGACACTAACTACATGTGGGCACTGCATATTGAACTGTGGCCCATATGACCAAGGACCTGTGTTTCTGATGTGAGCCCACTGTACCGGACGGAAGGCTGGGCCTCAGGCCTTGCCACCTGCTGCCCCCACAGTGCCCCATGGGGCAGATGGTGCATTCAAGTGCTCAGGTAAACTGGGACACCAGTGAGGATGGCTGATCTTTGGGTGAAAACCACCACTTTTTAGGTCTTTAAATCCAATGGCATCCCTAATTTTCTGGTGAAATTATTTAATAAGCATCTACCTGCCTGAGCTAAAGAAGGGGCAGCACACAGATTTGGTCTGTGCTCTGGATACAACCCTGAACAGGGCATGTGAGGGGGCTCTCTCAGCTGTCCTGGAGATGCAGGTCCTCCAGCACCATGGTTCTTAAGTGCCCCTGAGAACTTGTTTGAAATACGCATTTTCAGATCCACTCCCACCCTCAAAGTCCTGCTGCACCTGGGAACAGCCCTGGGCTACCAGCTGCATATGAGAAGCCCTGGCGGGCAGGTGAGGATTTGTGTGGGCTCCTGTCCCCTTAGAACACACCCCCCGCCTCTCCTCAGACACACTGACCTTACGTGTCAGCCCCACACTTCCCCACTGCTGCTGAGCCATCCTTACACACTTGGAAGTGCTGGTTCCTTCAGAGTCCCCACTCATCCCCAATAAGCGGGTCCATGTTGTCTGAGGCCTGTCCCTCCTTGTCCATTTCGTGCAGGATCGTCACGTCTGTCTCATGCACTAGTCTTGGCTCCTAACACTAGTCCGGGCTCCTGTGTCTCATGGCTAGCACAGTGCATGGCTCCTCATAGTACAGTGTGATGGCTGAATGTCACCTTTCACTTACGTACATTTTATAAACAAACAGCAAAATGGTGCCACCCCAGTGACACTGAGCATCACTTGTCCTAAGAAAGCCGCAGCTTTCTGGGAAAAGCAAAGGAACACCTGACATCCCAGTCAGTACCAAGATACACGAACATCATCAAAGAATCATTCAACTAGTACATAAACATATATGGGAAAAATATCCCTTCAAATTTGAGATTAAAATTACTTTCTAAATGCAAAATCTACAACCCACCTAAAGGCCAGGTTAGATCATGTTAACACAATTTATACCTTTATTCCCAAAAAGGAAGTCATGATACTGTCAGGAAAGTGAGAGGCTGCCACAACATCCCAACAGAACCAGGACACTCAGGTATCTATTTTCAGTAACAATGTTACTATTTAGCACAATAATGGGACAAGTATTCAGACAATAAATTATGTACCTGTCATTTCTGGCTGCATGAAAGACTTGGTACTGAAAATAACCAGGAGGGGTGTATTAAATTTAAAAATCCACGTGAAGGAAGGGGCCCAGAGAAGTCAGGGAAACTCTGAAGGAAGCTTTGCCCTGAGGGGAAGGACCATGAGCCTCCACTTTCAAGTTCGATGGGGATAAAGAAGAAAGTCCAGGACCTGCTCATGACAAGGAATCAAATAAGAGACCTTAGCCTGGAAAGCTGGCATCCCAAAGAACCACCCCTCAGTCTAACAGTGAACTTCAAATAAAATGTTTCACCTGAATCCCAACAAGGATTAAGGAAAACTGCCTGTTTTGAAGCTGAACACTGAAGCTTCACAAAAACACTGATCTTTCACAAACTTTCAGCTGAGAATTTAAGTTTAACATGGCCTTGAACCTGTATTACCCCTACATCCCAGCAGAAGCAAATATTCTGATCTATATTCCAGGTTTTAAAATCTCCTTTCAATTGGGTCTAATCTTGTTAAACACATCTGTTTGATTTAAAAAATTCGATTACTGTAGTTTTCATTACTAGATGTTCTGTTTGGTTCTTTTCCAACTTTGGTCATAATTCTAAGGCAATTACCAAAATCTAGTACAGAGAAAACTGAGTTGGAAAATAAGAAACAGTTTAAGAGAAATATTAGAATCATTAAAAAAAAGAGAGAGAGAACAAGGCAGAGGTAATATTTGGAAATACAATAGATGACAATATTTTAGAACTGATAAAACATAAGCCAGGAAGCCCAAAGCACCTCAAACTGGATTAGAAAAAAATAAATCCATACACAAATATATCATAATGATACAGAACAAAAAGAAGAGCGTATACATAAAGAAGAGTGCTTAAAGACAGCCAGAGGAAAAGAAGGCTGATGACTTTCAAAGGAGTGGCAACTGTTAAGCTGACAATTCACAGCAGAAATAACTGAAGCCAGGAGACAGTAGAATAACATGGATAGATTATAATCGTCCACTTAACATTCTCTACCCTTCAAACACATATTTTTTAAATGAGAGAAAATAAAGATATCTGGAGACACACTAAAATGGAGTTTGCTATCAGCAGACTCACTAAAAGAAAATCTAAGGGCTGAATCTAGACTCCTACTGCAATTCATATACTATAATTATTCCCAATTATATCATAGATTAAATATGAAATTATATAATAAAATGTCTCAAAAACCACAAAAATTCTCCTTTATTTTGGAGTAGGGCAAAGTTTTCTTAAACTGGACGTCTAAATTACTAGTCATAAAATAAAACTGATGAAGTAGTTTTTCTTTTAAATTAAGAACTTTTATTAACTGATACCACTTAAAAAGTGAAAAATAGGCCCTGCCAAGGAGAACATATTTGGAATATATGTATAAATCTGACAATATATCCACAATATAGAAGTAACTCTCACAATTCAATTTTTTAAAAAAGACGTCAATTTTTTTTTTAAAGGCAAAAAACATTTTTTTTATCGTTGGAGATTCATTGAGGGTACAAAAGGCAAAAAACTTTTAACAGGCATTTCACAAAAGATATACAAATGGCCAATAAGCATGTAATAGTTTTTATTTGTCTGATGATAAAGTAAAATAGATAACTACATACGCCCACAAAAAATTAAAATTAAGGAGTCTAAAAACACTGAAAATACTGTGTTGGGGAGGATGTAAGGCAGCTGGATCTCTTGCACCTGGCTGGCAAGAGTCAGTTATTTGAAAGGATTGAAAAATAGTGGCCAATCCCTGGCAAGGCTGATCAAGAAAAAAAAGAAGGAACAAATAATATCAGGAATAAGAAAGAGAACACCACTATAAATCTCAAACATTTTACACAGATACTAAGAGGGTAGTGCATACAACTTCGTGCATTTAATCTGAATTTTCAAATTTATCAGTATAAATTTCAAGAAAATAATTTACCCAAAATAACTCAATCAAAACTGACTCTAGAAAAAATTAAAATTTGAATAGTTTTGCAACCACCAAGGAAATTCAACCAGTAATCAAAAATCTTCTCATATAGAAAAGTTCATTCATGTTTATGTGGCTTCTAGGTAGTTCTGCCAAATATTCAAGGAAGAAATAATTCTAGTTTTACAAAACTTTTCTAGAAACAGTAAGAAGGAACACCTGTAACTTATTTTATAAGCCAGCATAACTCTAACAGAAAAATCCAAAAGGTGAGAAAGGGAATTTGAAGGCAATCTTACTCATGAACATAGATGAAAAACACCTGAAATATATACACCCCCACATGAACACATGCACAGATGTGTGAATGGATATGGGCGTGTGTGTGTATGCAAACCAAATCCAGCAATGTAAATTAAGACCCATGATTCCAAACATCATGACCCATGAGAGTTTGCCTCAGGAATGCAAGAGTGCTGCTATTAACACAATCTTTAAATTGAACACATTAAAGGATGGGAAAAATTATAAGATCACCTCAACAGCTGTAAGAAAAGTATTTGATAAGTGCTCTTAAGTATGATAAAAGGGAACTTTCTTAACCTGATAATTAGGGTATTTAAAAAATACCTCCAGCAAATACTATGTTTAATAATGAAATACTGGAGAGCAACCCCTTGAAGTCAGAAGCATGGGCAGGGAACCGTTATTACCACTTTCATCAATATTGCACAGCAGGCTCAGTGCCTGTGGCTCAAGTGGCTAAGGCGCCAGCCATGTACACCAGCCTGGCCCGCCAAACAACGATGGCTGCAACCAAAAAATGGCCAGGTGTTGTGGCGGGCGCCTGTCGTCCCAGCTACTTGGGAGGCTGAAGCAGGAGGCTTGCTTGAGCCCAGGAGTTGGAGGTTGCTGTGAGCTGTGATGCCACCCAGGGGGACAGCTTGAGGCTCCATCTCAAAAAAAAAAAAAAAAAAAAAAATACTGCATAGCAAGGCTTGACAAGCATAGGAGGACAAGAAAAGAAACTAAAGATTTAAAAATTAAAAAGAAACAAAACTCTCACTATTCACAGATATAGGATACAGATAAATAACAGCAAAAAATGCAAAAGAAACTAAAAGTGCATTATTAGAATTAACAGTTTTTGGCAAGATTTCTAAACACAAAAATTAACAAGCAAAAACCAATGATTTCTAAACACCTACAAGAGACAATAAAAAGACAGGGACAATGACATCAAAAATGCAAAATTTCTAGGAAGAATCTGAAAAATAATACACATAAATCCACTGTGTGAAAAATTACAGAACTTAATTGAAAGACAATAAAGACTAAAGAGATGAATCGTGTTCTACAATTGGAATGGTGTTGTAATATACACATAGACATTTCTCCCCAAAGTGATCTTATAGAGAGCCAAAAGATTCCAATCAAATTCATAAAAGTCTTTGAGAAACTTAATAAGTTTATTCTAAAATTTATACAAAAGTACAAAGACTATGAACAGCCATGATGATCTTAAGAACAAGGCAAGTGGATAAAGTATTCCAGATATCAACCTGTAGGAAGTAGAGTAATTCAGACTCTGTGGTAATGGTATGGTGAAAGACAGTCAGCTAATGAAACAGAAGAGAGGTCAGAATCAGACCTGTGCTTGTACTGACAACTGATAGATGAAAGACCGGTTTTGCAGATATGTGGGTAAAGTCTGGATGCAGAGGTGGAAAAAAGTGAAATGCAGTCTTTACCTCACATCATACCCCCAAATCTCTTCCGTTTAGGTTAAAGACGTAAGTGAAAAAAGCAAAACTGTGTAGGAGATATACACAGATGGAAAATAAGCATAAGGAAAGATGCTCCACATCACATGTCATCAGGGAAATGCAAATTAAAACAACCAACGACCTAATACACACTTATTAGAATGGGCAGATTCTAGAATACTGACACTACCAAATGCTGTTGAGAATGTGAAGCAACAGGAACTCTCATTCATTGCTGGTGGGAATGCAATATAGTATAGCCACTTTGGAAGACAATTCGGCAGTTTCTTACAAAACATAACATACTCTTGCCACATGATCCAGCAATTGCGCTCCTTATTATCTGCCCGAAGGAGATGAAAACTTAAGTCTGCACAAAAACCTGCAAATAGTTGTTCACTGCAGTTTTTACTCATAATTGTCTGAACTTGGAAGCAATCAAAATGCTCTTCAATAGGTAAATGGGTAAATTGTAGTACATCTAGACAACGGAATATTATTCAGTGCCAAAAGATATGAGCTATCAAGACATAAAAAGATACAGAAAAAACTTAAATGCATTTACTAAGTGAAAGAGGCCAATCTGAAAAGCCTACATGTTGTATAATTCCAACTATATGACATGATAAAAAGATCAGGGGTTGGAGAAAGGGAGAGATAAATAGAGCACAGAGGATTTTCAGGGCAGTAAACCATTCTGTATGACACTTCAGTGGTGGATACGTGTGATTTTACACTTGTCTGAACCCATAGAAAGTATAATACCAAGAGTGAACCCTAATGTACTATTAACTTTAGGGGATAATCCAGGTTCATCAACTGCAACAAACTATAACAAGTTTATTACTGTGGTGGGGGGGTGTTGATAATGGGGGAAACTGTACATGTGTGGGCAGGGGTTACAGAGAAATTCTATGTACCTTCTGTTAAATTTTGCTGTGAATCTAAAACTGCTCTAAAAATAGAATTTAGCTATTTTAAAGGTAAAAATCATAAAAAAAAAAAATTAGTCACGAGTGGCGCCTGTGGTTCAGTGAGTAAGGTGCCGGCCCCATATACTGAGGGTGGTGGGTTCAAACCTGGCCCCGGCCAAACTGCAACAAAAAAAACAGCCGGGCGTTGTGGTGGGTACCTGTAGGCCAGCTACTTGGAAGGCTGAGGCAAGAGAATCACCTAAGCCCAAGAGCTGGAGGTTGCTGTGAGCTGTGATGTCATAGCACTCTACTGAGGGTGACAAAGTGAGACTCTGTCTCTAAAAAAAAAAAGAAATCAGTCACATTAAAGTTAATTTTTATTCACCAAAAAGTACCATCAAGAATGGGAAAAAGAAGCCACATCCTGGTAGAAGATGTCTGCAAACATTTAACCAACAAGAACTGGCATCCAGATTTTGTGAAGAATTCCTATGAACTGGCAAAAATGGGCAAAAAGACCAGAAATGAAAATTGTAACTATAATTCATGCTTAAAGCCCACTAAATTGGCAAGAATTAATAAGCCTGACAAAATTAATTACTGCCAAGGCTGCAAAGTAAACTCTCAGTGCTGAAAGGTGGTCCCCCTTGGAAAGGTAAATATGAACATACCATTTTAGCTCAGCATTATTACTCCTGCAAAAATTCTAGCACACTTAATAGCTACCAATAACAGAATAACAAAAAAAAAAAAAAAACTGGAAACAACCCAAATATCTGCCAACAGTAGAATTAATAAATATCAAAGTATAGTCATACTGAAGGGGTTAAAATATGCTATTTTGGCATATTGACTATGTTAGAGACACCTGAAAAACAGCAAGTACAAAAAGATCATTTTCACCTTTGTGCTGTTTCTTAAGAGCATGTGGAAGACACTCATTAGACTAGAAAGAGGCCACATCCTTGTCTTCAGTTATGAGAAGATGAGACCAAAAAGAGTATCTAGACTATGTTAAAAGTAACTCTTATTTTTTAAGCCTCCCCACATAATTTAGTAACATTTTCAGTTAACTATTCTCTGTCCAATTCAGGCAGGAAGTAACTGACTCTAAAGGTTTTTTGGGGTCTTTATTTCTTTTAGAGGGTTCCTGTTCCATATAAAATTTGTATTAAGTAAATCTCTATGCTTTTTTCTTGTTAATCTATCCTATGCCAATTTAATTCTCAGCCCCAGTGGGGACCCTAAGATGAGGGGGAGTTTTCTATTCCCATAATACAATGAAATACTATTCAGTAATAAAAATGAACTGATTTTGAGATTAATATGGATGATCCTCAAAAAAAAAAAAAACTAAATGAAAGAGAATATATAATGAGACAATAATGTACATAAATTCAAAAACAGCCAAAACTAAACAGAATATTGGGCAGAGACACATAAGTCACTGGGAGAACTATGAAAAAAAGCAAGTAAAAAATTATCACAAAAATCAGATAGTGACTACTATGGACAGACTGAGGGTATGTGATAGAGAAAGGGTATATGGGCCTGTTACCAGTAATGCCTCATATTTTAATCTGGGCAGCTGGTGCACTGGTATTTGCTTTATTCTTTAAAGTACAAATTATAGCCCAGTACACTGACTCACACCTGTAATCCTGGCACTTTGGGAGGCCAAGGCAGGAGGATCTCTTGAGTTCAGAAGTTTGACACCAGCCTGAGCAACAGAGAGAGACCCTCTCTAGTAAAAAATACAAAAATTAGCCAGGTGTTGTGTGGCAGTGCCTATAGTCCCAGCTACCAGGGTCATTTGCATAGGCATTTGCAGTTTCAATGAGTTATGATGACACCACTGCACTCTAACCTGCTAGGTACAGAGCAAGACTCCGATTCAAAGAAAAAAGAAAGACAAAAAAGTACACAATTACACGTTAGATACCTTTTCTGTATTTATGATATTCTATAATATAATGAAATCATCACATTTTCTTTTATCTTTTGATAATAAAATACTTTATTGGTACCATTTAATGTCAAAAACATAGTAATACTTCCATTCTTTAGCTTCTATCTTTAAATTAAAAGCTAGTTATTTTTAAAAAGGAACAAAAGTGGCATGGATTCTCTCAAAAACAAGTTGCAACTTACCTTTGCAAATAATTAAATTCTCTCACTTTAAATACTGTAATAATTAATTGGTCTTCATAATAAATAATTGTATATAAAAGGAGACAATGGCCTGAATTATTTTGCAGAGAATATTTTATATTTAAAAAAAAAATCCCTAAATACTACCCCAACTTTAACACTTGTAAGAATAATTAGTTGAGTTACTGTAAAATCCAATTCATGTAGCACCTAGAAATTTGTAACATTTCAGATATTTGCTATGAAAAAATGTAATGATTTTTCTTCTGTGAATTTTCATGGGTTTATATACAAATACAACTCAATATCGGCCCCTTTCAAAAGCCAAAGATTGAAAAATTATGCATGTCTTTCATCTTATATCCAATTTCTGGACCTAGCAATTGACCTAATGGTAAAAGATCCATGTTTGATAAATAATACAGTACAGTCCTACCTGAATATTTCTTATTCACCTTGTGTTATTAATATAACTTACATCTCAATTAAAACATTATACATGCATGCAATACATGTACATTTCTCTAAAATATTCTGTAATTCAGATTTCCACTCACACTAGTTTCCTCTCCTTCCCTTTTCTCAAATCAGAATGATCTTATGTATATCTCATGAAATTATTTTTCCCCCCACAGTGAAACTCTTTCAAAGTATTATAGTAATACGCATACAGATATAGCATATATTAACATATTAGAAAGTAAATGATAATAAATACATATGCATCCATGCTAAATGAGAAAACAGAAAGCCAAAAAAACCAAAACAAAATGAAAAGAAAAGAAAAAACCATGTTATGCTCATCTATTCTGAACCACCACAGGCAGGCCCTGAGGTAGCTGGCTCACATAAACTGACATTCCCAGACACAGCAACTAAACTGTATGTCAATATAATTAAATGCTGTTAAAATTTTTTCATGTTTTTTCTGTTTGTTCAAAACAGTCTACAGCAACTTTGACTGCTAATCTTGAACATGATGATAATGTAGTAACATAGTATATTTTTAACCAAGCCATTGATTCTAACTATTTTCTATTATCACTCATTTCCTCAAAAACAGACATTCGGGGCTAAGCAATATTAAGTTAAGGGGTTTTGATTTCTGCCTTCTCTTGATTGATGGAGGATTTCAGATGTATCATTTAATTACCCCGTTTCAGTGAATTTTTCAAGCTTCAACCAAAGCTCTTCATTTAAAAATCAAGTGGGGTAAAAAAAAATTTTTTTAAAATCAAGTGGGGTGACAGTGGTTGATGTTGAAGATACTTATCCACACCCTATGTCCATAATACTCCGTCCCCTCTGTGGGAGTGTGCTGCTTCTGACTCACCGTCAGCCCGGCATATCCCATCTCTCCACCCAGATGCAATGAGGATACCATGCAATCCCACATTCAATCAGAGCATGGGCACCAGGCAGAAATTAAATCAAAACAACCTTTGGGACAAAAGCTGGTGTATTCTGACAAAACAGAAGCTTTGTGCTGAAACACTTGTTTTTTCTTTGCATATCAGGCTGAATTGCTAAAGTGAAGTAATGCCAGCAAGAACGTGAAAAATAAACATGTCTTCTCTGAAAGAGGCACTGCATCTGGAATTGGAATTAAGGCTAAATAAACAGTGCTGGTTTGTGGTTCAGACTGTAATGTGTTAACAATTACATCAACCAACAGCTTCACTGTTTGTCCTGTATGCCTGTTTATGAAGGTGTGTCTCTATTTCCTCCCTGAAGACCAGCATTCCCAGGTGGGAGTGAGAGGCCTCGTTCATGGCTTTGGACTGGATGCACATGCGGTACTGCTCAGGGGTCAGCTCATCAGCACAGCGCTTTTCATGCCAGAGGTGGAAAAGACCAGGAACCGGAGTCCGAATCACCATAAGGTCACCATGTAAGTATTTTCGATAAAGATGAACATCTTCTCCACCCCAACCTTTTACTTCCATGTCAAATCCACCTGCAGGATCAAAACTGGCATTATAAGTAACTGTTTAATAGCCAGAGCACAGAGAAACATCATAAAGATTTACACGTTCTGCTTCAAATGAGATGGCATGGTATAATATAACACAAGGACACATGATGTGAAGGAATAACATCCTAGTTTGAAGTCCAGTTGCAAGCCAACATTTAGACTCTAGATCAGACTCAGTCATTGAGAATATCAAAACGAGATTAAATATTTGAAAACATTTCATAAACTTCATAGATCTATAGAAAATTTATAGGAAGTCAAAGGAAAATATAAATCACCTATAATCTTTACTACCATTCATATTTTTTGGTTGTAGCCATCATTGTTGTTTGGCGGGCCCAGACTGGATTCGAACCTGCCACCTTAGGTGTATGTGGCTGGCGCCTTAGCCACTTGAGCCACAGGCATTGAGCCATCATTCATATTTTTATTATAGTTTCTTTCTATCCTTTGAGACACAAGGTTTTCTGGGTTACAGAAAACTTTCCAGAGGGGAAATCAAAGGAATGGGCCAAACTGGAGATATAAACTTGAGAATTGGCATACAGATGACTTATAGCCATGGAAATGAATGAAATTATTGAAGAAATTTAGAGGGAAAACAGGGCCTAGGTCTAAACACTAATAAATGACATTTTAGACATTAAACTGAAACAGAAAAAGATAAATCAGCAAATGAGACTGAAAAAATGACTCCAGATGAGGGAGAAACTTCTGGAGAGGGTACTATCACAGAGCTCAAGAGAAAAAGTGTCTTGAGGAAGTTGTTCCCAAGTATCTATGCCACTCGAATAAGAACTTAAAATTAGGGTGGCGCCTGTGGCTCAAAGGAGTAAGGCGTCGCCCCGTATGCCAGAGGTGGTGGGTTCAAACCCAGCCCCGGCCAAAAACTGCAAAAAAACCAAAACAAACAAAATAACCCTTAAAATTAACTAAGTAGACCTGATAGCATAGAGGTTATTTATAACCTCACGTAGAACAATTCTGGTGGACCCATGGGCAGAAGGTTAACTGGAGTGGACCGACATGACAGAAGAGGTAGGGGGAGATTATTTCAAACTGGTACACAAGCTCAGCAACTAACTTTAAAGAAGCATGGAGAACACAAACCATATGAAGTTTTTTGAAGAGCTAGAAAACAAATTCTTAAAAATGGGGAAAAACTATGTAATAAAGAGTTAGACTTCTAAATTATGTCTCCTGTAAATAATTCTATCCTACTTAATTGCAAATAATTCTATCCTACTTAAATGCAATAACCTATCCTACCATTCACGGATGGTCAATAATCCTGAGAGCTTTGAAAAGTATTAAACAATCAGAGTTAAATGCTACATCTGATACATCTCAGCTCTTACTCCTTACAGATATGAATAAGCTCTTCAAATATTAGAGATGGTATAGATACTTAAAAAAGTGGGAGACTGGCTCCACGCCTGTGGCTCAAGTGGCTAAGGCGCCAGCCACATACACCTAAGGTAGCGGGTTCGAATCCAGCCCAGGCCCACCAAACAACAATGACAGCTGCAACCAAAAAATAGCTGGGCATTGTGGTGGGCGCCTGTGGTCCTAGCTACTTGGGAGGCAGAGGCAGGAGACTCACTTGAGCACAGGAGTTGGAGGTTGCTGTGAGCTGTGATGCCACTGCACTCTACCCAGAGGGACACCTTGAGGCTCTGTCTCAAAAAAAAAAAAAGTGGGAGACTCCCAGTTTTGGTCTAGCATGTAAGGAGCTTGGAAGTTATTATCCCATCCAAACAAGTACAAAGCTGAAAAATCAGCAATACCTCTTATATGTCCCTAAGAGAACCGAGGTCACAGAGCAAACTGCTGGCCTCAAAATTGGAAAGACAGGCAGGTAGATACAAAGAATCACAACTTACTGAAGCAGAAATCTCTGTAGGAACCAGTAGCAAGGCAGAAAAATATGAATTGTAACTGACAAATTGCTGGAAGCTCAGTGTAGGCAAGTCTAGAGTTAAAAACTCCAGGGGAACTCAGTCATGTTGAGACTCCCATACTTTTCTGAGTTTTACCTCTAGGATCTGCATCAGGCTCTCAATAGTGAAGATCAGAGAAAAATCCCCTAATTCTTCCAGCAGTAAGGAGTGGGAGGAAAGGTAATCATTTCTAAATATGTCAGAGGATTCTGTTCTCATTAATAAGGCCTGATTTCAGGAAAAGCTATTTAACTAGAACCTAACTTGCTGGGTTTCATCAGAGCCTAACTGACCTGGAGGAACCAACTCCAGCCCTTTCTAACCATACTGTCTAGGAGGGGAAGGGAGGGGAGGGAGACTGGATGTGTGAAGTTCACACCCCGGGGCACAGGCTCACCAAAAGGACATAGACCTAATCATAGGACTAGAGTATACTTCCCCTCCCACTACACCTTACTACTTCAATGTCTTCTACCTAGTACAGTGGTTCTCAACCTTTGAGTCATGATCCCTTTGTAACAATGAAAATACATCGGGGCATTAGGAAGATTGAGGACCACTGATCTAGTATATCAAGTCCAGCTTTCAATCAAAAAAATTATTATTCAGGGCGGTGCCTGTAGCTCAAGGAATAGGGCGCCAGCCCCATATACCCGGGTGGCAGGTTCAAGCCTGGCCCTGGTCAAAACTGCAAAAAAAACAAACAAACAAAAATTATTATTCAACATAAGCTAAAAGGCAGAAAGACACAGAAACAGAGCATGTACCAGATCCAGATTCAGATACAGCAGGAATGTTGGAATTATCAGGTTGGGAATTTAAAATAACTATGGTTAATATGCTTTGGGCTCTATCGGAAAAAGTAGACAACATACAAGATTAGTAATGTATAAGTAGAGAGATGAAAGTTCTCAGAAAAAGAAGAAACCAAAAAGAAATACTAGACATAAGAAACACTATAAAAGAAATGAATGAAGCTGGGTGCAGTGGCACACACCTGGAATACCAGCACTTCAGGAGGCTAAGGCAGAAAGATGTCTTGAAGCCAGGAGTTCTAGGTTATAGTGAGCTATGATCACATCACTATATTCCAGCCAGGGTGGCAGAGATGCTATTTCCAAATAAACAAACAAACAAACAAACAACAACAACAATAATAACAACACACAAAAAAGAGAAGAAAAGGAGAATGCCTTTGATGGGTTTGATAGTAGACTGGACTTAGCTAAAGACTCTCTGAGCTTGAGGATATGACAAAAGAAATTTCAAAAACAGGAAAAAAGACTGAGAAAAGAAAAGGACAAACTATGTAAGAACGGTGAGATAACTATGAAAGGCGTAACACATGTAATTAGAATACTAGAGGAAAAAGAGAAAGGAAGTGACACTCCAAATGAAATTCCAAACAGGTGCAGCTCCCATTCTTACCCAGCCCACACTCACAGGGTGGAGGCTCTACTCCAGGTGCAGCAAGCTGAACATTTTGGGGGCCTAATTCTCCTACCCATCTTCTTTCTTAGAAAACAGGAGTGTTACTCTGCTTTGTAAATGTGCCACTGTCACTGTCCTCAGCTTGAGCAAACTTCAGAGATTTTTCCCAAAGAGGTAGTCATAAGACCAAACTGCTGCAAAGCTCTTCCCAAAGGAAGTGATTTTATATTTAAAGTACAGGGAAGTTCAAACCTCTGTAAAATAACTGAAGCCAGGGACAGTACCTCACCCACTGAGGAGGTGAAGATGGGATGACTGCTTGAGGCCAGAAGTTTGAGACCAGGCTGGGCAATATAGTGAGACCTCATCTCTAAAAAAATAAAAATTAAAAAATTTTAATATTAAAAAAAGGAGATAATGGAGATTTGGTAGTAAGCTATTAGGAGGTGGCTGATAGCTCCATGAGGGAAACAAGCTGAACTGCAGACCAGGTAGTTTACCAGAGAGAATCAGGGAAAGAGATAAGAAGATCCCTCCCTGGGGTCTGAACAAATCCCAAAGACTTGTCTCAAAAACTACCCCAGCAAAAGGGTCCAATTTAATTGAGTCATATTGTAGAGCAATTCATACCCTAGAGCACTGACAAAAACAAGACACCAATTAGTGAACAATCAGTAGAGACTAACAGTTGGGAGTGATACCAACAGAGGCCTGGAAGCAGGCAGTTAAGTCCCTGCTAAATTCAATGCCATGCCAGCAGAGCTGTACACGTCCAGAGGAACAAAGTCAGAGGCTTCATATTGCCAGAAGGCAGGGGGATAAGAATTGACTAAAACAATCCAACTAAGTCAGTAAATAAATGAGGAAAAACAAAAACAAGCCTTGTAGGTAGGGGAGAATTAGTATCCAGAGTTGCCACAACATATTAACTAAAATGTCCAGTTTAAAAAAAAAAAATCATGAAACAAGGTGTGACCCATATAGCAGGAAAAAAGCACCAGAAACTGCTTGTGTCAGGGCACCAGATGTCAACTTTAACAAACAAAAATTCCAAAGTAGTCATTATAAATACGTTCAAAGAATAAAAAAAAAATGACATTTAAAGAAGTAACAAAAGGTAAGATGACAATGTCTCATGAAACAGAAAATATTAATAGAGAGAAAAATTATATGTACATATATAAAAAGAACCAAATGGAAATTCTGGAGCTAAAAGGTATAATAACTGAAATGAAAAATTCATTAAGCAGCTCAATAGTAGATCTCAATTAAGAAAAGAATCAGAGAACTTGAAGACAGATCAATAGAGATTATACAATCTGAAGAAAAAAAGAGGGAAAAGAGAACAAAGAAAAATGAACAGAGCTTCAGAGAAATAGAGGATACTATTAAGTGTACCAACATATCCACAATGAGAGTATAACAAGAAGAAAGTAAGAAAGGAGCAGAAGGCTCGGCGCCTGTGGCTCAGGCGGTTGGGGCGCCAGCCACATACACTAAGGTGGCGGGTTCGAATCCAGCCCGGTCCCGCCAAACAACAATAATGGCTGCAATCAAAAAATAGCCGGGCATTGTGGCGAACACCTGTGGTCCCAGCTACTTGGGAGGTGGAGGCAGGTGACTTGCTTGAGCCCAGGAGTTGGAGGTTGTTGTGAGCTGTAATGCCAGGGCACTCTACCCAGGGGGACAGCTTGAGGCTCTGTCTCAAAAAAAAAAAAAAAAAGAAAGAAAGAAAGAAAGGAGCAGAAAAAATATTCAAAGAAAAACAATTGGCCTCTGTGTCCATGGGTTCCATTTCTGCAGATTCAACTACAGATCAATAATGTGTGTATGTGTGTGTGTAAACCCAAAAAAGGAAAAAGAAAAAAAAAAACAATAAAAATAATACAAATTTAAAAAATACAGTATAACAACCATTTAAATAGCATTTACACTGTATAAAGCATTATAATTCATCTAGAGATGGTTTAAATCAGTATTTGGGAGAATGTACATAGGTTACATGCAAATACTGCACCATTTTGTACATGTAAGGACTTGATTGTCCATGGATTTTGGTTTCCTGGATACAATCCCCTATGAATAGTGAAGGATGACTGTAATGGCTGAAACTTCCCAAATGTGATGAAAAATATTAATGTACATATATTCAACAAGCCCCCAAAACTCCAATAACCCAATTAAAATGAGCAAAGTATCTGAATAGACATTTTTACCAAAAAGATACACAAATGGCCAATAAACACATGAAAAGAAGCTCAACATCATTACTCATCAGGGAAACGACAATCAAAACCACAATCAGATACCACTTCACTCCACTACAATGGCTAGAAACATAAAGACAGATAATAACATTTATTAATGACAATGTGGAGAAATTGGAACTCTTATATACACTGCTGGTAGGAATATAAAATGATGTAGTCACTTTGGAGAATAGTGTGGCAATTCCTCAAAAGGTCAAACATAGGGTTACGATATAATCCAGCAATCTCCTAGGTATATGTGGACAGCCAAAAGAATTCAAAGTCTAGGTCATCAGCATTATTCACAATAGCCAAAAAGTAGAAACAACTCAAATGTCTAGAAACTGGCAAACAGATAAGCAGAATGTGGTATAACCATACAATGAAGCATTTTTTAGCTATCAAATGAAATAATGAAGTACCTGATATATGCTCCAACATGGATGAAGCTTGAAAACATGTTGAGTGAAAGAAACCAGTCATAAAAGCCACATATTATATAATTCAGTTTATATTAAATACCAAAAAAGGTAAATCTGTAGGAGGTAGATTAATTTTGGATGCCTAGGTTTGAGGGTAAAAGGGGTTGGTAGGAAATGGTGAGAGATGGCTAAGAGGTATAGATACGGTTTCTTTTTGGGGTGATGATAACGTTTTTAAGTTTGACTGTGATGATAGCCACACAACTTGGTGAACTGTACATCTTAAATTAGTAAATTTCATGATATATGAATTATATCTCAATAAAGTCATAATATAAAAACGAGATAAGGACTACAAGCACCCAAGACACTGCTGAAAAAATGTATAAAACTCTCTTTTGAGGGACAGTGAATGCTTACTGTTTTACTAAGCAAGAAATCAAAGAAAAGAGTATTAGTTTCTTTTAATAGTCTTGTTATTGTTATTTTCTGACTTTCCAATATTCACATGTTACAATCATGTAGCAGAAGGTAGGGAGATTTCTAAAACAAATGGCTGGTTATAAAAATAAATATAATATGAAAATATGTTCTGTGACTTCTGTCCTATGGAAAAGTAGCCAGCACTAAATGAATCAGGAGACATGGAATTAGGATTCAGCCTATTTTATTAAACTATTCTCTGACACTTTTAGTTTTGGTTGGGTAAGACTGAAGTTGGGATGGAGAAGTATGATTAGATAAGTTCTTCAAGGCCCATCTCTGGGCTAAGGTGAATGAACAACTAAGCTATGTTTCCAAGTGTCCAACTCCAACTTGAAACACAGCTAGAAAGACCAGCTCATTTTTTTCATTTGCCCTAAATAGTAGGATTTTGCATAATATCAATAGTTTACTAGACAATTAAAGGAGGTTTCATCTCAAAAAAGAAAAAAAGAAAGCAAGCCCTTAGTCTAGATAATTCAAGATTACTTCTAGCTATAACAAACCATAAGCATAATAGTAAACTTGTAGAGAAATCTTATGAAAGAGTATCCAGTTTTAAAAACAAGTGTTTTGATTATGAAAGAACAAGTAAATATTATACTATACTTTTATTTTTACCTTTTTTGAGACAGAGTCTCACTCTGTGCCCTGGGTAGGGTGCTGTGATGTCCTAGCTCACAGTAACCTTAAACTCTTGGGCTCAAGTGATTCCCTTGCCTCAGCTTCTTGTGTACCTGGGACTAAAGCCGCCCACCACAATGCTTGGCTAGTTTTTCTATTTTTAGTAGAGATGGGGTCTCACTCTTGCTTAGGCTGGTCTTGAACTCCTGAGCTCAGGTGATTCACCCATCTCAGCCTCCCAGAGTGCTAGTATTACAGGTGTGAACCACTGCAGCTGGATACTTTTATTTTATCTATATGACCTCATTTTTGCTATTCAGAGACATTAAAAACTCACGTGGCCTTTTTTATCTCCAGATTCCTCTTTACAGCTAACTTCAGACGCTATAATTTAACAGGAAAACACTCAAATCTGAGACCTTTTAGCAAAATTCTATAAGCTTTATAGTAAATATGTAAAGTCCTATCCTTAAATGTAAGGTATACTCACCAATGGTCAGGAAATCTGATCGATATTGACAAGTCATTCCAAAGCCAAAATCTCGCCAAAAGCCAGAATCCTTTTTGTGAACCTTAAATTAAAAAAAAAAAAATTCATTTTATTCCTTTAGGACTCGGAAAATTTTTAAGGACAATGAAACAAGATATTTTCTAAAGGATATTTTTTTCCTGTCATTTATGTGACTGATAAAGGATCACATAAACTACGTTGTTAAATCCTTCCAAAAAATCAAAAATACATAATTCACATGAGCAAAGCCTTCTTGCCTCTCTCAATTTAATTGAACTCAAGTACTGTACAAAATGCAATCTTTATGACCTCATTAGTAGGGCTACTAATCACACAGTGTGGTGCCTGACCTTAAGGGGATTACATTCTAGGAGGACAACAGTTGCACAAGCACATACTGTAACACACTATGATCAACTCTACACAGTTGATCTCATTTGGTGCCTAACCAGTATCCATTCCCTGGGCCCCTCCTTGATCAGTACAGTCCTAACCTCATGCAGCCCACAAGCTTTGGGAATTTCCTGTTACCAGTAGCTTCAGAGTGGGCTATGAGTATACCAGTGAGATAGTCTCATCCCACTTACCATAGGAATCAGGTTCAATACCAGCGATTAGAAAAAATTCAGACCAAGAATTCAAAAGAGGAGGGTTGTTGGGAACCTTGGAAAACAAAGCCCTCTTGTTCTTCTGAGAGCCCCACTACAAAGGCCACCTACTCAAAGGGCAGGGGTCAGCAAGCTATGACCTCAGACTAAATCTGGCCTGCTGCCTGTTTTCGTAAATACTCAGTAATTTTATCAGAACATAGCTATGCTCATTTGTTTACAAATTGTCTATGGGTGATTTCACAGTGCAGTGGACTAGCTGCAACAGGACTGTATTTACAAGTCCACAAAGATTAAAATAGTTTTCTATCTGGCTCTTTATAGAAAAAGCTTGCCAACCTCTCATGTAGGATACAGTTAAGAACCTTAGTATTGCTGAAGTCCTTTTCCACCATGAGGGAAACCAGCTTTAACGTGAAGCTATTATCATTGAAGTCCAAGTAGAGAAATATAAAATCAGGGATTGGATGACTCTAAGCACCACCCCCCAGAATCTTTGGAGGCCTGATAAACCTCCTGTATTTTATTTAGACTTAGAACAAGTGTTTAATCTATTAGATATGGTTCCAGAAATAGAGGCTTAGTAGTGAACAGAGGTGACAAAGTCCTGCCATCACAGTGCAAATAAACAAATACACATTTTAGATAGTGATATGTGCTAGAAGAAAAATGCAGGAGGATGAGGGGAGAACCTGACAGAGAAAAGCCTGCATTGAACATACAGCCACAAAGGCTTCTCTGAGGAGGCAAATGCTGAGCACCTGACTGAAGTGAGGGAGTGAGTGATGCAAATGTCTGGAGGAGCTCACTCCAGGCAAGGAGGAATGCTGCACAGTGGCTCTAAGGACAAGCAAGGGCATGACTGTGGCAAAAGCAGAAACCATGAAGCTCTGGGGTCAAGACTGGGCTTACAGAGTAGTATTTATTTAAGATATTTTTTATTTTTATTTTTATTTATTTATTTTTTTTTGAGACGGAGCCTCAAGCTATCCCCCTGGGTAGAGTGCCATGGCATCATGCTCACAGCAACCTCCAACTCCTGGGTTCAAGCGAGTCTCCTGCCTCAGC